GAGAGAGAGAGCGCACAGATGTCAGAGACGGAAAAGACTCCATGAGCAGAATTTCTACAACTTAGTAACATGTAAAATTTTTAAAATAGTGAATAGATATAATTCAGAGAAAATGTAAATGAATAATATATTTAAAGATGTTTAAGCTTACCAATAATTGAAGAAGTGGTAATTAAATTTTTTTGTTTATTGAATGGACAATAAATGTTAAATGCCCAACCCACAATAAACAAAACTATTCTACAGCAATCAAATATAGAATGGGAAAAATTATACAAAATTACCAGAAGTTTAGAATCATTTTGAATCTCTTTTTAATTGTTGAAATAATTCACCAACCTGAGCCACTTTCATTGAATTCTGAGTAGAACCGCCGGCATGATATTCGACTTTGAATTTTTTCACAAGTTCATCAAACCTATAAGGAAATCACAGAAAAGTTAGCATGTATCAGTTGTCACAATATAAATTTGTTAGGAGTTAAAATACATACAGTAAAACCTTTAAATTATATACTTATGTTGAATAAATGAATTAAAATACTACATAATATATTAAATTTCCACACAAAATTCTTCAAATGTGTAACCAGCTCTGAATAAGTACCACAAAGACAATATGCAATGTATTAATTATTGTAACTGTCCTACTAACCTGTTTTGAAACTGCCTTATTGCTTTCTTTCTCATTAAAATTAATAAAAAGAATTAAGAATTAAAATAAATAAATAACAAATAAACGAATGTGTAATCATAAGAACTCAGAATATATAGTCCAGTTGTAATTAACCTTTCCACTGAAAAGTGAAAGGAAAATCCACTAGCTGCCAAATGAAGATCACAAATAGCAAACAGTCAAAATTCTGAATCTCAGAATTACTAACTGAAAACATACCAAAGAAGCTGCCTTTTCCCTCATTCCACACAACTAAGAGTTTTACATTGAAATGGAAATTTTGCTAATTAATAAATTTCCAGGAGTCAGTTCAAGAGCCACAGAAATTATCACCTTACTACTGAAGATGTCTCATGACATCTATATTCACTTCTCCCATATTTTATATGAGAAAGTTAACAATCACCTATCTCCTTCTGCCTCTTTTGGTCCATTCCAGATGCTACATACAAATGGAATTACATGATGTGTGGCCTTTGGTGACGAGATACTTAGGGTACTGTTTTTAAGGTTGATATGTCAAGTAGCATACACCAGTATGTTATCCCTTTCCATGGGGAAATGATACTGCATTCTATGGCTATTCCATATTGGTTAATCCCTTTATCTGTCAGAGACTATTATGGTTGTGTCTAACTTTTTCTACTGTGAACAATGCTGCTAAGGGCATTGGAAAAAGTTTTGTGGATACATAATGTTTTCATTTCTCTTGATTATAGTTTTATGTGTGTGTGTTTTGGTTTGTTCTGTTTTGGGTTTTTTTGCGGAACCAGGGATCAAACTCAGGACCTCGTGCTTGCCAGGCAGGTGCTTATACCACTGAGCTATCTCCACGGCCCATTCTCTTGATTATATATGTGGGGGAAAGCTGCTAAGTCAAATGACAAATCCTTGCTTGATTTCTTTGTTTGCTTGCTATTTTGAGACAAGGTCTCGCTATGAAGTTCAGACAGGCCTTCAACTCACTACGTAGTCCAGGCTGGTCTTGAACTTGCAGTGATCCTCCTGCCTCAGCTCCCCAGTGCTTAGGATTACAGGCTTGTGTCCCCATGCCCAGCATTGTCAGATTTCTTGAGAAATTTCTATCAATGACCTAACTTCTTTGCACCCACAGAAAATAAAGAGAAACTTGCCTCTCTAATCTATTAAAAGGAGAAACAAAAAAATTTTTTCTTTAATTAACTTTATGAATGTTGAAAAAAAATTTAAATCAATTTTAGTTGGATGGGTAGTCAATGTGGTGTGTGGGTGGATAAAAACTGAGATGAAAGCAGGGCATGGTGGCACAAGTCTACAGTTCCAGCACTTGGGAGGATGAGGCAGGAGGATTGCCACATGTTCAGACCAGCCTGGGTTACATAGTGAGTTCAGGGAAGCCTGAAGAATACATGGAGACTATGTCTCAAAAAAATGGGAGGGGGGGAGAAGAGAGCATGAGGGAGAGAGGGGGAGAGGGAGAGAGGGAGAGGGAGGAGGGGAGAGGGAGAGAGAGGGAGGAAGGGAGAAAGCGATGGGGAGAGAGAGAGAGAGAGAGAGAGAGAGAGAGAGAGAGAGAGAGAGAATGAGAATGAACTAAGGAAAATAACAAGAAAGCAAAAAACATGAGAAAAGATTAAAAGACAAAGACAACTGATCAGATGCCCTAAGACCCATTTAATAAGAATTATAGAAAGAGAATAGAGAAAATGAAAGATAGAAAAGTTTACAAACCAGGAAAGCCACAATCCTCAGGCTTCCCCAGAATTAAAACAATTTTACTAAGGACTAAGGACTAAGCTGTGCAACTGTACACAGACTACCTTCATATACCTGGAGAAAACTGAAGGGCTGACAGGGAAAACTACCAGAGTACCTACAAAGGAATGGCAGATGAACAGTATCTTAAAGAACATAAGATGCTAAAACATAATTGAATACTGCAATTTATATTAGAACAAACTATTTTGAAAATACAATTAAACATTTACACAAATTATTAGTTACCTGTTTCCTGTTAACAAAAAAGATTATATTAAAATGTAAAGCTTTTTTGGGGCTGGGGAGATGGCTCAGTGGAATAAGCGCTTCCCTAGCAAGCACAAGGGTCTGAATTCAATCCCTGGTTCCGCAAAAAAAAAAAAAAAAAAAAAGAAAGAAAAGAAACTGTAAAGCTTTTTTAAAAAAGGCTTTTTTATATAAAAGCAAAGCCAAATAAAAACTTAAGGGGCCAGGGAGATGGCTCAGTGGAATAAGTACTTCCCTGGCAAGCGCAAGGGCCTGAGTTCAATCCCCAGTTCTGCCAAAAAAAAGAGGAAAACTTAAGTGTTATAAAAGGAAAAGCAGAACACATTTTGAGTATAAAAGGTTATCTTTCCAAAAATATAATAATCACACAAAATAGAAATTAAATAATCATACAAAAGGGAAATTAAAATATTAAGGCAGAGATAAGTGGGAAAATGAATAATGAACCAAATAAAGAAATGATGTTTTGGAAAGCAACGAAACCCTAATCCTAGCAACCACATGCATACACACAGATTTCTGTATAATAAATTAGTTGAGGATATAAATGTTAATATCATAAGTTAGTTAAGTATAAATGTTAATTTTTATATGACATTAATAAGAATATGAAGAAGCTAATATAATCATGTATTATTAATGACAGAACATTTGTAGAAAGTTAGTTGGCAATATGCATCAAAAGTCAAAAAAATGTTTAGACTCTTATAAAATTGTATTTGGACAACTCTATTCCTGGGAAAGTAATCAATATCATAAAAAATTCTACTCAAATCCTGTTTATCCTGCCATAATATTTAATAAAAGCTACAAAATATAAATACCACAAACAAGTAAATCATGGTTATTAATACTGGAACAAATGTAACAAAGCCTGTATATCTTAATTATTTACTCACTGTATTATCACAGGACAGAATGATATGAAGATATGATATGAATAATATCAGGTGAATAAATGTGTGAAAGAAACATATAAAATGATGTTCAGGGCTGGGGAGATAGCTCAGCAGTGCCTGCCCAGCAAGTGCAAGGACCTGAATTTGATCTCTGGTACCACATGCCATGCCAGCCCCAGAACCCCTGGCACGCTGTGCCAGCCACTGAACTCAGGCATGGTGGCATGCCCCTGTAATCCCAGCACTGGGAAGGCTGAGACAGGAGGATCACAAGTACGAGCTGTGTAGCAAGACCTGTGCCAAAAACATATAAATAAATAAAGATAAAGACATTAAAAATAAAGGAAGCAAATAAAGAAAAATTCAAAATGATCACAAAATGTAAACCATAAAGACCTGTAGTTTATGTAACTTAAAATATAACAGGATACTTTGTATTTACTGTTCAATGAAGTTAGCACATAAAAATTCATTCATTGTATTTATCTTGATGGTGTCCAGACTTTCTAACATATCACAAAAATATTTCATAAATGAATAATTTGTAGACAAATATAACAGCTACTCATAGATTTCCTTACAGAATAAAATACAGTAATAAAGAAGTGGGGACTCTTGCTAGGACTAATGAATAATATGGTAGGTCAAGCTGTAACTAAACACTGGCCTAGCATCATACCACGTCACAGTGACTCTATAAAGGTATCCAATAAGAAGATGCAACGTGGAGATACAACGTCTGCTAAAGAAAGACAACACTGACTTCCGGTAAAAATAAAAATAATGTTGATGGATCATCAGTATGCCACTGGCAATGGCAGAGAGCTAACTGTCGGACAGCCAAGTTGTGACTGAATGACCAAAGGAAACACAGACAAGCCAACATAATCCATCCTTAGAAAGAAAGCCCTATTGGCAATGTAATCCATGCCTAAGTATTAGTGGGAATAAATGCACGATGCTGTATTTCAGATAGATTCACCTTCTCAAAAGCAGTAATTATTATACTAACTACAACACAGCAAACAGGCTAGGGGAAGGTCATAGGATGAATGATTTAGTGGAACAACATTATGATGCTGTACTTTAAAAAAAAATAACTTTTATTGGTTGTCATTACAATATACTCGTCATTTCTTTAAGATTTCCAAATAGTTTTTAATTTCATAAGTTGAACAGTAAAAACAACCAAATAATTTTTCCTTTTTTTAAAAAAAATCTAGGGCCTACAAGATTGCTCAGCAGACTAAAGCACCTGCTTAGGCAAGCTTTGGCAAGAGCAGGGACTGCAGCTCAATCAGCACCGCATGCTGCGTCAGCCCCGCCCCCAGGGCGGTTGAAAACAGGAGGATCACTATGAGTCTGAGCTGCTCCATGAGACCCTGCAACAACCAAAAACATTACCAAAAAAAGAATTCTAAAATATTTTTTATTTTGGTACAGTGATCCTCCTGTTCAGCCTCCCCAGTGCTGGGGGATCACAGGCATGCCCCACCACACCCACTTTTGATGGCTGACATTGCACGCCCAGGATTCTGTAGCTGACATGACAGGCGTTACCAGGGATCAAGCTTGGGTCCTTGCATTTGCCAGGCAGGCACTTAGATGACTGAAGTATCTCCAAGGCCCCAGCAAATGATATTTTCAATGAGTTTTAAGATGCTGAATAATAGAAGCTCAACCACAAAATAAAACAATAGATTCACTCTGATACCATCAACTTAGAAAAGGTAGCACTCAAAAAAAAAAAAAAAAAGAATATCCAGCAGACAAAAACCAGATGTATAAAAACAATAAAAATATATGTTAGGAGATGCAAATATAACTGTACAGATTTGCA